GTCTACTGAAATAACTAGTGGTATCTACCTGTGCGTGCAATAGGAAGGAATAAAACATATTTCGATCACTGGTGCGCCGATAATGGTTAAATTGCCTCAGAGTACAAAGAAGATTAAGGTACGAGTATTTAAAAATTTAACCCTTCTGGAATCTGTGAAGCCACAAGGAATCGAGGTAGGTATGTTCACAACGCTGTTGGTTGGACAGGTTGTGGTGTCCTCGAGAGAAATTTCCAACCTTGATGGTTTTAGAATTTCTGCAACTAAATCCGGTAGTTCGGCGTGCTTTCGAAACACTCGGGGCAGAGTGCTCGGACAGATAGAGGCCATTCGAATCTGACATGCCCTGGTTCTTAATAACTCCGGGTAAATTAAGGTCATGACCGTGTATGCTTATTTCAGACTGATGGTCATCATCAACAACCAGTACGGTACATTTGTGCCAAGGAAGGGAAAGACGACATGTGCAGCGTCACTGAGTAATGACTTAAAGATCCGTTTTTAGGAGCTCGAGCACGATGTCGCTATCTGCCGGTTTATATGGAAAGGTAACTCTAAATCGTCAGCGAAAGTAAAGGGCATACCATACTGAAAACAATCAGAAACATCGTTGACAAAAAGGCACAATAAGAGCGGGCTATGTATGTTCTCCTCGCCAACTCCACTCCTCACATGTGTTAGGTTGGATATAACACCGGAAATTTTAACTCTTTATGCGCAAGTTTCGAAGTAAGAGGTTATTAAATTCAGAAGCTTGTTACCTATGCCGAAATAGGCAGCACGCACATCTTTGGAAATTCTTCTTCCTCTGCAAGAACTGTTAGTGTCCAGTGGACTCCTGGAATCCGAGTGCTCTTAGGTCAACCTCCATTTCGACCCTCAGACCATAAAACTTGTTAATCGCTGTGCGTCTATCTCAATAGTGTCGGTATTTAACGTGGGTTTGCCCTGTGCGCCTGTGCGGGCAAATACGTGGAAACTGAACTTACCCCAGAGAATGGGGAACAATGGGCGGACTGCTTATGCTTGGATCTGTCAG